TCCTGATGTTTCCCCAGTATTTCCCCATTGTTTCCTGATGTTTCCCCAGTATTTCCTCATTGTTTCCTGATGTTTCCCCAGTATTTCCCCATTGTCTCCTGATGTTTCCCCAGTATTTCCCTGTTGTTTCCCAGCTGTTTCCCCATTATTTCCCCACTCTTTCCTCATTATTTCCCAGCTGTTTCCTCATTATTTCCCTGTTATTTCCCATTATTTCCCAGTTGTTTCCCCACCATTTCTCCACTATTTTCCCGCTGTTTCCCCAGTATTTCCCCACTCTTTCCACACTGTTTCCCCAGTATTTCCCCGCTGTTTCCCCACTATTTCCCCAGTATTTCCCATCTGTTTCCCCGCTGTTTCCTGTTTCCCCAGTATTTCCCTATTATTTCCCCATTATTCCCCACTCTTTTCCCATTGTTTCCCCGCTGTTTCCCCATTATTTCCCCACTCTTTCCCCATTGTTTCCCGGCAGTTTCCCCATTGTTTCCCAGCAGTTTCCCCATTGTTTCCCCGCTGTTTCCCCATTATTTCCCCACTCTTTCCCCATTATTTCCCCACTCTTTCCCCATTGTTTCCCAGCAGTTTCCCCATTGTTTCCCCGCTGTTTCCCGGCACTTTCCCGGCTGTTTCCCCATTTTTTCCCAGTTGTTTCCCCATTGTTTCCCGGCAGTTTCCCCATTGTTTCCCCACCGTTTCCCAGCAGTTTGCCCATTGTTTCCCGGCTGTTTCCCCATTGTTTCCCCGCTGTTTCCCCATTATTTCCCAGTTGTTTCCCCATTGTTTCCCGGCACTTTCCCCATTGTTTCCCCACCGTTTCCCAGCAGTTTGCCCATTGTTTCCCGGCTGTTTCCCCATTGTTTCCCCATTATTTCCCCATTGTTTCCCCATTGTTTCCCGGCTGTTTCCCCACCGTTTCCCAGCACTTTCCCGGCACTTTCCCAGCTGTTTCCCCATTGTTTCCCGGCAGTTTCCCCATTGTTTCCCCGCTGTTTCCCCACCGTTTCCCAGCACTTTCCCGGCAGTTTCCCCATTGTTTCCCCGCTGTTTCCCCATTGTTTCCCGGCTGTTTCCCCATTATTTCCCGGCAGTTTCCCCATTGTTTCCCCGCTGTTTCCCCACTGTTTCCCAGCACTTTCCCGGCTGTTTCCCCACTGTTTCCCAGCACTTTCCCGGCACTTTCCCGGCACTTTCCCCACTGTTTCCCCATTGTTTCCCCGCTGTTTCCCCACCGTTTCCCGGCACTTTCCCCATTGTTTCCCTGTCTCACCTGGCGCCCCACCAGGCCGGCGCCGCTGCGGCAGGTGCGGGAGTAGAGGCGCATGCAGCGCTGCCGCAGGCAGGGCTTGCAGCGCTCCCACAGCTCCTGCGCCGACGCGTTGCAGCGCTCGCCCCGCGCCGACAGCTCCTGCTCCTTCTGCAGCGCCAGCTGCACTGCTTCCTGCGGGGAACGCCGCCCTCAGCACCGCCGGCCCGCATTCCCAGAGTCCCGGGATATCCCGAGCCCAAGCACGGCATTCCCGGAGTCCCGGGATATCCCGATCCCAAGCATGACATTCCCGGAGTCCCG